TGTTCAGTCTTGAGTATGTACTGACCTTGCAAGAGAGTACCAATAATTCATTACAACCTGCAAGCGAAACAATATTTAGTAGAATGGTTGATATGCTTCGGTTCCCCTCTAGAATGGTTGATATTCCTTCCAACAAAGAGAAATCTGGTATTTCAAGCTCCTCTATAATTCCGTCCACAAGTTCTATAAGTTTGTTTRCTTAAATCTTTGYAAATATTAGCAGAATTTCAATGAAAATATAGAAATGCCATCTGCCMACTTCATRAAATTGAAGAGTTGTCAATAGGAACAGAGCATTGTGTTTTAATAGCATCAGTCGATTAATAGTTTTCTTTCCATTTCAGATGGTATAGCTTGGCCTCTTCATATGTTGAACCTAACTTATTTTGAAGTTTTTTTTATATATCCAGCTTCCTCTGAACGTTCTTACATGGAGTTGGAACCCACCTCCTCCTTACAAGGGTCACAACCTTGCCTTCACTTTGAATTTCCTGAGATTCAGCAAGCAACCAATGATTTTGATGAMTCATTAGTAATAGGGCATGGGAGTTTTGGAAAAGTTTAYAAAGGTAATGTTMTYAATGGATCAAGTCTTGTTGTTGCTGCCATTAAACGGTTGGATTCCACRTCTAGTCAAGGAGCMGTTCATTTTTGGKCCGAAGTTGATATACTTTYTAAGTTTCGGCACWGRAATCTTGTGTCTTTGATTGGTTATTGTCATYATGGAAAAGAGATGATTCTTGTCTATGAATATATGCCCAAYGGAACACTTGGRGATMATCTCCATACACATGGTACCCCTCTCTCTTGGCTTCAGCGASTCAACATCTGCATAGGTGCCGCTCATGGGTTGCTCTACCTTCACACTGGTACAGAGATTGTGCGTGGGGCTATACATCACGATGTCAAGAGCTCAAATATTTTGTTAAATGAAATYTGGASGGCTAAAATTTCRGACTTTGGGTTGTCCGAGATAGACTCAATAGATAAGCCATCGACATATGCCTACACAATGGTTAGTGGCACTTTTGGGTATCTAGATCCAGCTTGTTCCTTCACCGGAAGGTTGACAAAGAAGTCTGATGTGTATGCTTTTGGGGTTGTATTGTTGGAAGTGTTGTGTCGGAGGCCAGCACTGGATAGAAGTCTTGATGAGGACAACCCAAATTTAGCAAGATGGGCTCAAGARTCTATCAGAGAAGGCAATKTARAWCATATAATTGATTCTGATATAAGGGATCAAATATCCCCAAAATGTTTGAARAAGTTTGTTCAAATTRTAGAGAGATGTTTGCAYGACAATCCAAAACAGCGCTCTACCATGGCAGAGGTTGTTGYCYGTCTTCAATCAGTRTTGACCTTACAARAGAAATTCARTAGTTCATTGCAACYGCAAAACAATATTTGATAGAATGGTTGATATGCTWCCCTTYCCCTCWAAMATAGAGAAATCAGGTATTTCAAGCTCCTCTAAAATTGTATGTGCAGATTATATTATTTAAATATGCATGTATCCGTGTTTTCAAATATTTGAAGAACATCAATCAAAATATAGAAATG